GGGTCTGATCACTTTTTTTTTTTTTTTGTGGTACCGGGGATCGAACTCAGGACCTTGTGTTTGCGAGGTAGGCATGGTGCCACGGAGCTAAATCCCCGGCCCACCTGTTTAGACTGGTTTTTGGCCAGCACGACCTAGGGGTAGGTAATTTCTTATTGGTAATAACAAATATTTTGTCTAAGCTTTTAGTTTGTAAGGAGTAAGGCTTATAAAGTATTTCACACAGGGTCTATAACAGTGATGGCAGAACCTTTTAGAGCTTTCAATAACAACCTGCTGCAGCATGCACGCCATAGGTTTGCCACCACTGGTCAATAATAAAACCATCCTGTAACAGTTGTTAGCTGTTAATTAAGGGCTTTCCCTATTCTCTTCTTCCTTCTTCTCACTTGATCTAGTCAAAGAAGAAGGGTGCGCCCACCCGCTTTGGGCATGTGCATAAACATAACAGCATCCCTTTCCTAATTAAATCATCTCGAGGTGAGGGAAAGGAGATTTGCTTCCCACCATTTGATTATGTCAGATTTTGTCATTATAACAATATAAAGCCTATCACATCACTGTTCAAAGGGGCTAGAAAGCATCGCAAAACTCTACATCCTTCCCGCCAGAACTGCAAGCCCAGGAGCTCATGTCTCAGGAGATTAGAGACTCTTAAACTTGGCTCAGCTGTGTACCACAAGGGAGCCCAGCCATCTGTAGCCATTTGGGGTACAAATTATTTCTAAGTTGTCATCTTGGTTTTAAAAGATAACAAGTATTTGTAGTAGACCGAATGTCTTCTGGTTGTATGAGTAATTTTGCATGACAAAAGCAGAAACAATCCCTATATTAAAAGGAAGTCTTGATATTTTGGTGGTGTTTTAGGGTACTGCTTTGTGTCAGATAGTATGGATAATATTTGGAATGAGTTGGGTATGGTAGTGCACACCTGTGATCTCAGCACTCAGGTGACTGAGGGAGAAGGATCACCATGAGTTCAAGGCCAGCCTGGACTACATAGCAAGACCCTGTCTCAAAAGGGAAAAAAAATAATTTTTGGAATGTCATTATCATGGAGAAGTTAGTATATTCACCCTTCTAGCTATAAAAGGAAAGATTTAGGAGTTTGGCAATTTTCCTTACTTTTAAGTGAGTGAAATAAGATAATTTATCAGACACATTTCTCAAAGAAATGAAAATCCTTTGAGATGATGCATTGTATTCTGAGTTGATGAAGGCACAGTGTTGAATTATATGAAAACATTACACTGTACCCATTACTACCTGTCTAAAAAATTTTTTTCTTCTTTTGTTTTGAAAAGTACTTTACCTCACTTAAAAATCTGGCCTGGGCTTTGCACACTAGTCTGTTTTTCCTGTGGCCTAAAAATGTTTCTATTTAATGTTTATGTACCACTAAATGGATTTTTTCCTCTCTTCAGGAAACTGAAACCTCAGATTTGTTCTTGCATGATGATGATGATGAAGATGAAGATGAATATGAGTCTCGTTCATGGCGGAGATGAAATCTGACTTGAGCTGTATAATTTTTAGGAATACTATTTAGAAGAACAACTTTTAAAAATTATTTAAAGAAGTCAATGAGCCAAAAATTTTTTTTAAATTTTTTTTCAACACAGTAGGTTTAAGGACAGCAAGTTTGCTATGTAAACACATCTCATAATTAATTATACATGATATTAAAGCACCAAAGGCCTAGTGACTTAACAGTTACCAAGATCCACAGGAATGACATGGATAATCTCTAGAGCCTTATTTTCCACACCACCTGTTTTTGTTGCTCTTGGTGTTGGATTATGATGTAAATGACAGGGTGTTGAGAAATTTTATTTTAGATTATAATCTGATAAAGTTTCATTAAATGATAAAATCGCCTGGAATCTCTTAGCTATTATGGACGAGTCATCAGACAGTAGGAGATATTTGTAACTAAAATACCCTTTTGCTTTCAAGAGTTGTCTTGGAAGAAAAGTAAATTTAATTTTTTTACTCTGGAGGAGCCTAATTTGTATTCAGTCTCAGCTATTTTTTTGTTTTGTTTTTTTAATTTTGTTTTTAGGGTTTTTATGTGCAGTGAAAATCACAACAAACTCTACTCTTAAATGCCATAAAACAACGGTAGCTAGCTCTGTGGTATTTCCTTTCTCTCATTGTATTAATTCCTAGACTTTTCTTGCTGCTGATTTTTGCTTTGATACTAAGTGAGCTTTTGTTCAGTTAGTCCTCTTTTATTTCTTTAAACCTGAGAATGTAAAAGGCTTTCACCTGTTGCCCCTTTGTCATTTCTCCCTTTTATTAATAGGCCTGTGACTTACCCATTATTGAGATAAGTAAAACAACTGGGCCATCAAAATTCAGTCCCCAATAAAAGGTTTAAACCAGCATATTGATAAGTGTTTTGATAAAAATAAAGGAAGGATTTTGGGGGGGTAAGAGATAGTCACCAGCTTTTTATTTCTCTTTCTCTTTTAAAGCTTCAGTTTTAAATTATGCAAAAAAAAAGGATGAAAAGTATCTGAATTTCTTTTCCTAAATTTAAACCATGATGACAAGATGACTTGAGGGTGCAGTAGGGGTGGTGGAGTAGGAGGCTGGGTATGCTAAAGTGAACGGGAGTCATAACTTGACTTTGATTGGATGACCCTATATTTTCATAATCTTGTAGCTTGTTGCTATCCATGAACACATGCATCCTTCAGTAGACAGTTTCTTTTACTGTGTGCATTTTTACTGTACACTGTATAGAGTATCTGTTAAGTAAAATATATATGTAAATTTATGTCCTTTTGTTCTGAATGTTAGATGGAAAAACAGAGGAGCAACACTACACTGTCCTGACCCTTGGGAAAATAAATGATTAATGTACATAGGATGTTACTTTTTCAAGAATACACACATCTGTGTTTTTATGTGTGTTTGGTGTGAAATTTTGAAATTTTCTATTGGCTTCAGAAAGTTCTTGGTTATCACTATATCAAGGATTTGTTTCCTGAGGTAAAGACTGTTTCTCAAAATAGAAACTATTCAATAAGAAGCTTAAAGCCATCAGGACTCTAGATTTACTTAGCTATAGGAAGTTAAATTCCATGTTCTTCTCATCTCTTCCCTTCTACATATTTTCCTGGAATGATGTATCAAAACCAGGATCATTTTTACATTCATGTAATTTTCTCTTCATAATAACTTCCTCTTTCTAGGTTACTACTACATTTCTGATAACACTGAAGCTGAAATAAGTTTGTAAAAGAAGGAAATATGAGAATGGGGAACCTTGAATAAGCGATCTTGCTCCTTACTCCTCCATCATCTCTAATGAAATTTTCTTAGTGTCTGTGGCTCAGTCAGTATATATTTTGAAAGATTCATTGTGGTGAATATTTTGAGTCCTGACAGTTTAAACATGATAGAGGGAACAAAGGATTTATATATTTTTTGTACAAAGTTTTTTCTTAAATTGTATAATTTTGTAAATAATTTGTTTTTTTTTTTTCCTTTTGTGTACTAAAACTACCAGCGTATAGATTTCAATAAGAATTGTTGTATTTTTGTATTTGGAAACTGAAAATTACAGTAAATTAATGGAGCTGTAAGAAAATTTCCAGTAGACTGACAGTTTGACAGAATGAGATTCCTTTTCATATGATTTTTTAACCTCAAAATTGACATCTTACTACACTTGCTATAGGGAGAGTTGAAGATTTCTTTGACGTTTTAGTTATTGAGTGCAGGGAATGAAACAGAAGGGTGCTGTAGTGAAAAACAGATAGTTTTTCTTTTTTTCTTTTCATTAAGGTTTGAAGTCCTTTGGGTAAAACTTGGTTTTTAGTATGCCATAAATAGAACTAAAATACTTTTAAAAGTCCTAAGAATTCTAATGTTTGATTCTCAAAATGAATTGAAAACATGGATTAATTATAAAGCCTAAGGTTAGCATAAAATAGTTACATATTCATACCCCCCCCGGGGGGGGGATTCTTTTACCCCAACCCTCAGATTCCCAAGTGTTCTACTGTAGTATGTTTCGTTGGGTTATTCATGTGTAGAAACAACATGCAGCGTCAGAGACAAATTATGCTGCTGTTGTTAATGTATAAGATATCTTTACAATTAACTGATCAGCAATAACAGCCACCAGTCTGGCTACGTCAGCCTCATTTACTAGATTTCAGCCCAGTCTAAAAGCTAACCCTAAGGAACGCAAAGTTTCCCTCAGTTTCTTCATGTAACTTGGAAAATATCGTCACCAGCTAAGATGATAAATTGGAGAACAGTCCTGTTAAGGTGGGAAAAGTCCATGGCAATGGATCATTATTTTAAAAGAGAAGAAAAAAAAAATCATGTGAAAAGGAATAGTGGTTCCTCTTGATGTATAGTATGCCTGTATTATAGTTTTTACAAAATTGTGATCTTGTGTAATAGTATAATAGGAGATACTGTTGAATTTCTAACTGTTTATACATTTAAATTCATATATGTAATGTTTGTTTTATTGATTACAATCTGAATTTCTAAGAAGCATGTTGACTTTTGCAATAAAGATGCAATATGGAATGGTTCACAATTTGGAAAAAAAAAAGATGGAAGTATACCAAATTTAAAAGAATTTGGAAAATTTATGAACCATTCCAAAAATTATAACAATCACCAAAAGAGCTGTAATTCTGACTTGTTCTGGAAAGAAAGAAAATGAATGTGTATGCTTGCTTGTGAAAGAGTAGTCCATATGGATGTGTGTTTTATATTGGGTTCATGTATGTGAGAGAATGTCATGCAGTATGAAGATGGGTGCAAAGTTGCTGGCTGTTAAATATTCAGGAGAATAATTCTTTCAAAAGGGTATAGTCTGGAGAAGGCTATCAAAATGCTCCTTGTAAGTAACCTTTGATAGTCATATTGTTGTAATCGTAGGTAGGTATTGGTATGCCAGATATCAAGCACAAGAATTTTATGAAAGCTGTTATCTTATATCCTGAGAATTATCAGTTTGCCTGCCAACAGGACGAGGGACATTTTCCTGAAATAGAGTAGGGATGAAAGAAGAATGTGTGGGAGTAATGACTTGTAGATACATCAGTTCTGATGCAGTAAAGGTCTGCAAAGTGTAGCAGAAAGCTACATCCCAAGGACCACATGGCGATGGGGAAGGGAAGTGAAGCTTGGTGCTCAGGCTCCTGTTTGCTCATTTAGAAAATTTATTTTCTTACAAATTTTCCCTTCAAGTAATTATGCATCATGTAAGAAGGATTTTTCTGTAAGTTTCAGCTTATTCAGGAGAATACTAAAGAATGCAGAGTAAATTTTATTTTCATTCTCACAAACAGTTTGTGGCCAATTTGTTTCTAATCATGAATAATTGTATAAATGTTTATAATCATGAGATTTGCGGGGCGGGAGTAGACATTTTGAACATATTTGTATCCATTATCAGGAGTAAATGTTTTACCAAAATGGAGCTCATTAACAGAAAGTACTGGTTTTATTGACAATTTTATTTTGACGTGCATGGTGTGAAAGCCAATGGTAAACTGATTCATGAGCCCTAGCATATTACCTGGCGAGATTGGGTTATGTTACAGTCAATACAGATATGATTGTATGTCCATATATAGGATACTGAATTGTAGAGTCAGACTTGCTTTGGATCAAATGGGACAAACATCTTTTAGGAAACACCTTATTTTGTGTCTATTTTTATTCTCAAAAACTTAATGGGGGGCCGGGGATTTAGCTCAGTGGTTCTGCCGCACAAGGACCCGAGTTTGATCCCCGGTACCAAAAAAAAAAAAAAAAACTTAATGGGCCAAACGTCATTGACTCAAAAAAGGGGGGGGCTAATAATTTAGTACATGCCATGCCATGAATTCCCTTCATTTATGCTGAATTGATTTTGTTGCCAAGAGATCTTTCAATAAGATCAGGTTTCTACCTTTAGGTCTCTCTCACCTGTTTCAGTCACCCTTAGGTTAACAGTAAACCTTCCAGCTTTCTGAAACAGGTGACTTGATGCAGGAGACATTAAGGTCAGAGTAGTGTTTGATGATTTTTTGCAAGATGCGTGTTTTTTGGTGGTGTTAGTGGTTGTGGTAGTCGAAAATAAACATAATGATTACTATTGCCTTGTTATTATGTTAAATTATCTCTCTGAAAGCAAGAGAAAGCCTTAATCTAATAGCCTTGTTGCTCATTTTGGAAGAAAATAGTAAGTTGTTTTTTTTTAAACACCAGTCTTTTAACTTCTTTATGGAGTTCTACTTTGACTTAGTGATCCATCAGTTCTTAGTATTTAGAGCTGAGTTTACGGTTTAGCACTTCATTTTTCAAAATTTCTTTACTCAATTCTTTGCCAGAGAATAGAGGTAGAGACAAGCCTTTTAATCATTCAGCCATGTTTCTGTTGAAGTTCTTAACACAACTTTGTTAAAAACCTTACAAATATAAAAATTTATTTTAGTTTTCTAAAGTCCTTGTTATTTCATTTCTTGATTTACCCATAGACAGCTGTTAAGATGTGTATCTCCCATTGGATTAGTAAGGGTTAATACATTCTCAAATTTTGTTTCTTGCGGATAATGCCTCAAGATTAAGGGTGTTCACA